CACGTGAGAAGAGAGGTTGCTATTTCTTCGGGTTATATTTCCATGGTGAGTCTCATCCATTTTAGGGCCCGTCTTTATGCTCCTCTGAGCCTTTCCATAATGATTCCACTGATTCCCAAGGCCCCCAATTATCTGTGAACATAACAGCTTCTCCATAGTCTCATCAGCACTGAGGGTTTTTTCTTTAGTCTATCTGATTTTCTTTTCAAACCTCAAAAGAAATACCTGCTTTTTTGTTTGGTTTTTTTTGCACTACAGGCCAAATAATACAATGGAAAACAACGTTCAAAAACAAATATTCACACCCGCAATACTCTCTCCACTGCAAATCTCACCACGGCATCCACCTCAACCTCAAGTTAATCGAATGATAGCAACTGAAGTACATCCTTAGATACCATTTTCTGTCTCATACAGCTTTATTTGTACATATGCTTTTTTCCTTTTTCTTTTTTTTTGTACACCAATGGTTTGAAATACACACATTACAATGCAATTTGTTAATTTCACAATATGACTGTCACTCAAACCCAATTATACAGCAGTAATTCATTATTTTTACTAGTATGGATATACCACAAATTTTCCATTATTTCCATTTTAATGGAATTGATATTTTTGCCCAAACAATGCTGCAGTTAATATCCTTTTAGAAATATCTTCATATTCTGGTGCCTTTATTTACTCAGGAGAGACTCCAGAAAGAACACATGTTTTGTCATTTTAATGTATATTACTGCATTTCTTTCCCCAAATGTAACTCAAATTCCTAACAGCAATGTATGACAAGTTCCATTCTCCCATGTCCTTGTCAACACTGGATATTATTCATCTCTTTAATATTTTCCCAAATATTTTCCCCCCAAAATGGTATCTCCTTATTTTAATATGCATTTCCCTGATTACCAGTAAGGTGGAATGTCTTTTCATATATTTATTATATTAGCCCTTAAGAAATTTTCTCTTCTATGAATCCATTTTTATTTATAAATATTTTATAAAGTGTTGCTCTATTTCAAAATTCATGGCTGAAAAGTAACAATCTTCATAATCTGATAAATGTAGAAGTGCTTATTTCAGATAGAAGAGTTGTGGGGGGGTTGACTGTGAGGTGTTTCTATTAATTTTTAAAATTTTTTATTAATAGATCTCATTAATCTACACACACACACACACACACACACACGCACACAGAGTTGTGCCCATCTTCTCCTCTTCATTTTTGCACTCTGCTTTATTCTCTCTCTCTAGCAGACCTTGTAGGTGCCCCATTCACGTCCCCTGGACACTCGCCATTCCCATACATGCCTGCAGGAGTCATCTTCACCTAATGGCAGGCCAAATGGTTGGGAATTGGAGGATAAATACCCTAGCTTCCTCCCCTCTGGGGGAGGGAGACAATTTTGAGATGCATTTGATTCAATCTCCAGACCTTCCCAGAAGGCCAGTCTCAGGTGCTCAATCACACGTGCCTTTACTGACCTTTCTGTCTCTCTTCTACCTCTCTATTACTGCTTCCTTTGGGAGTATCTACTTTTAGCCACGCATTGTGTGAACTGCTGGATAAACTCTGGGGAATAAAATACCCAAGATTCTTCCCCACATGAGCTTTGTCATAGGGTTTTCCACTTCTCTGCTTCAGAATTGGTTGAAGAGCATCAGCAAGTGCAGGGTGCAGAAGACAAATGCAGCAGTGCCCAGCACTGTTCACAAGGAGTCCTGATATTCAGGCGTGTCAGATGGGCAGCAAACTTGGAAGCTGCTCCCTTTCCCATCCTTTGTTAGGAGTCTGGCGTGGATGTGTCTAAACGGACATATCTCCATAATCAATCCTCAGTGTTTATACTCCTTTCCCCAGACCTGCCTCATCCCCTTCACGAAGTTAGGAATCCAACCTACAGATATGCAAATTCTGGGTTCTAGGAGCTCTCAGAGAACAAAGTTGCTCTTGACTGTCACATCCTGTTTGATGGACTATAAGGCCTCCCCTCTACACACACACACACACACACGCCCTCAATGAACAGAGTACAAGCTTCAGAAAACTCCCCTTTTGATAGTGGGTTGCTATGGTAACAGTGGAATTTAGAAATGACTGTAAATGAGGCTTAAATCTTTAAGAACATTTTCCTAAGTCAGCCTTGGACAAGAGCATCACTGGGCTCCCTTGGCTTTTGGCCAACACGTTTCTACACTCATTCATTTAGTAACTTCAACGTGCCAGGTGATTTGTATACATGCAGCAGGGAACACAGGCATAGTCCCTGCCTGCCAGGAGTTGATGGTAAAACAAGGCGCCTTCATTAGCAAGTTAGATGCGTAAATAGTTATCAAGAAAAGGACAGCAGCTATAAGGAGAATTCTATTTTGTACTTGTTATTTACATATTATATGGGTGATGACATGAAAGGGAAAAACAGGGGGCATCCATTTTAGTTTGGGGGCAGGAGGCTCTTAAAGTAAGTATTAGTAAACTGAGGTCAGAAAAATGAGTAATAAGAGTCATGAACTACGCCTGAAGGTGGAAATGGAGGAGTGTTCCAAGCAGAGCAACAGCATCGCAAAAGTCATGGAGTGGGAGAAACTGTGCTATAACCCAGCACTGAAAGCACAGTGAAGGTGGGGTCTAGTGAATGAGGTGGAGGGTGAGGTGATGGGGGTGTAATTGGAAGTGGCGCCTGGTGGCTTCACACCATGTGTATGCACATGTCTGTCCCTGGAAGATCATTATCTCACTCTATAGGCCTTAGCTTCCCTGTCTGAAATATGCACCAAGACTGAGAAGTGGATCACCTGTCTGGGTAAAGATACACCTGCTTTTGGGTAGAGACAATTAATTACTAGGAAGGAATAAAAATGATGTGTTTCAGGAATCCCATTAAACCTTAGGGAGTGTTAAATGAGACCACCTGCCAGGGTCACCCATGTAGATTTTCTGTGCTTCCCAAAACACTTCCTTCCCTTGGCTCCCATGACTCAGCCTCTCCTGTCTTTCTCCTGTGTTGACATTTTCTGCTCTTTCTCCTTTGCAGGCTCATTACTGTCCACTGGGCTTTGGAATGATGGAGTCCCTCAAAGAGCAGCTCTCATTTTGGCCAGTTAATGCCCAGTCATCCTTCAAATCTTATCCTAAGTGTCATTTCCTTGGGGAAGTCTTTCCTGGTCTCCTTGACCAATTAAATCCCCCTCATATGGACAAATGTTTCTGTCTCCCCCTAAATTCATATCTTGAAGTTCTCATCTCCAATGTGATGGTATTTGGAGATGCGGCCATTGGGAGGTAATTAGATCAGGAGGATGGGGACCCCATTATGGGATGAGTGCCCTCATATAAGAAGAGGAAGATAGGCCAGCGCTCACTCTGTCTGCCACGTGAAGACACAAAGAAGAAGGTCATCTGCAATCTGGGAAGGCCATGCTGGCATCCTGATCTTGACCTTCCAGCTGCCAAACTGTAAGGAAATAAATCCCTGAAGTTTAAGCCACTCGGTCTGTGGTATTTCACTGTGGCAACCTAAGCTAAGATACTCCCTCTAAGAGGTAGTCCCTGCCCTGTGCTTATGTTCTTCAATGGTCCTTTTAGGGTCAGGATTTTAGATTAATTGGTGTGATTAAAGAATTTGTCCCCGGAAATTCAGCTCCATGAGCACAAAGCCTCTTGTCTTCTACGGCCTATCATGACGACTGGCTTCCGTAGTGCAGTTGCCCCAGGCCCCACACCCAGTCTTCCTGCTTGGTTTAATACTCTGCTGTTGCCATGCTGAATCTTAGTACTTTCTGAACCAAGGGGCTTGCACTTCTGTTTGCACTGGCCCCACAAATTATGTAGTCAGTCCTGCTTATCATTATATCCCAGCATCTTGCACAGTGTCTGGCACATAGAAGATCCTCAATAAATATTAGCTGAATAAGCGAATAACTGGGTAAATGTCTGACTGATCGAATATCAAGTGCCCAGGTCTATCTAACACCAAAGCCCATGCATTTTCCATCTCTCCATATGTCACTGTTTGCACTCAGATCTGAGGCTGGGTTTGACTAAATCTGCTCAAGGCCTTCCTCTCTCACTCACTGCTTCAAATTATTTTCTCCTGGGGCATCACTGGGGTAGTGTTGCAGTGGCAGCATTCTCTGGCATAAACATCCCTCTGAGTCACAGAGCAATGCCATCGCGAGGGGCCCAGACAGCTGCAGCTGTCAGGCATCTGTGAGTTACTTTGAGATGGCATGAAAAATATCTCCCGATTGGTTAGGTCCACCTTATGTCCTGCCTCTGGACCTGTAGGATTGACATTTGTATGGAACACTTTCCTATAACATATAGAAATATAACACTAGCTGCTGAAAGGAATGATTCCATCATGATCACTCCTTACTTCAAAATTAATCTGAATTTTACCTGAAGCTCTTTGACCCATCTCTAGCCATACTTAATTCATGGGAATAACATGAAAGGATTACTCTTGGAAGCAGGAACCTGGGACAGGAATGGGGAATCAATTCAGTATAGGTAAAGGGAATCTGTGAACTGGCTTGTCTTCCTGAAGCCAAGAAGTCTATCTCTATGGTTACATGTGCAGCAAGATAGATTTACAAAATTCTGCCTTGAAGCAACCATCAAGGTTATAACGTTGGGGCCACCTTTAGTACAGCACCCACAGGGCAAATCATGAGCTCTTTCAGCACCCCATACAGGAGATCTGTGGCCATAAGCCATCTTCAGAGGGCAGATTCAGGCTCAAACAGAATTAACCATTGTGCTTTCAGCCAGGTATAAATCACATCCCATGTGAGGGGCAAGGGGCAGGGGTTGCCATGCAACCTAGGAATAACATGGCCCAACATTCTCCAAACTAGAAGTTGAGCAGGGGGAGGAAGGGCCAAGATGGCGGAGTAGAAGGACGCTCGTAGCTCACCTTCTCCCACAAATACACCAAAACTCACATCCACGGACCCACCCAGCCAACCAGAGCACCTGCTGAACTCCAACAGAACATCACCCTCTTCAATAGAAGCCAAACAGGGCCTGTTTCATGAGATGATACTTTGTCACACCAACCATGTCACTTACCCTACCACGGCCATGCCAACTTTGCTTTAGTTTGTATTATGGTACTGAGATGGATAACAAATTGGATAAGTTGGGCTCATCATAAGGTTGGAGGGTATCATTTTTTGTATCCATAGGTTTAAATGGCAAGTGGTTAGAATCTCAAGGAAACTTCTGCCCACTTGGTGACTCTGTGTGCCCTAGAAAATCATAAGAGCAGAGATTAAAGTACACATGAGTCTCAAGGCAGGACAGAAAGGACACTGTAACACATTCATCCATCCTGGACAGATCAGGAGCCCTCAAATACCAATTCACTCCCTCTCTGATATCATCTCAAGAGAATGCTGGGCCAGGAATGTCTCCTACCAGTAATGCAGCATTTATAATAGTAGAATTGATAATCATAACAAAATGTCACTAACACTTTTTGAGTGATTACTATATATAGAAACTATTCTATTCAGACACAATGTGTTGTTACTCTCCTTGAGAGACGAGGAAACTCAGAGGGTTGCGTAGTCACTCTGCCTGGAGAAGGAACTGTGCTGTTATCCTAGCGATATTTTCAGGACTCTGTGTTATAGGACTTTGCAGAGGTGACTTGAAAAACATTTTATAATGAACTCAAATTGTTGGACCTTAAGAGGATGGAGGTTTAAATAAAAGGAAGAAATCAATATGGTGTTTATCTTGTTTTGTTTGTTTTAAAGGAGGGGCATGTACATCTTGAAAAAAGTCTGCTTGAAGCATAGAACTGTGTTGGGAAATCATATTCAAGTTAACTAAATTTTCCACTTGGCATTACTGATGCTCTGGACAGAGATTCCTTTCCATGTTAGGGTGCAGGTCAACCCAAGTATGTGTTAGATGTCAACTCAAG